AAAAAAAAAAAAAAAAAAAGCTTGTTGACAGATGGACCAAATGTATTGAAAACTAAGCCAATTATGTCAAAAAATGATGTATTTGTCTTTTCTAAAAGTTGATTAAAATAAATTTTACAGCCAGATTTTGGATAATTTTTGATTCACCGTCTTATACAAAGTAACATCTCCTTTTTTGTAAAAAGAATGAAACAACAGACATATGCACATGGACATGCACAGAAAACTATTTGAAAGGGTATATGAGAGTTGCTAATAGTGATTATCTCTGGTATAGCGTTTTAGGATGAGCACTGGATGGCTACCCATAAGGTCGGTAGTTCAAACCCACCAGCCTCTCCTTGGAAATGCTATATATACAGGATTGCTATGAGTGAGAACTGATTTGACAGCACTTAACAACAAAAACAACATTGGTTATTTTAAAATTCTTTTTGATACTGGTTTAATTGTTTCAAAGAGCATGCGTTGTTTTTATAATAATTTTTAAAATAAGTTAGTTCCATTTAGGGGTAAAAAAACAAATAGATCATTTCACTTATTTTGGTAATATGTTTCAATGTCTCCCACACCTTACAATCAGAAATATCTTCCAATTATGGGGTGTTAAACATCAATTTGCAATTATGGGGTGTTAAGAATCAATTTGCAAGCTCAATTTTATTCTACATTTTAATACTTAGGCATCTTTAAAATAATTTTCACAGCATTGCATTTGGTGTGCAGGATTAGTTGCTCTGGATTAGAGGTAAATCACCATCCTACCAACAGGTGATATGACTATCACTCAGTAAAGTCTCCCTGTATCATGTAGGGACCTTGTTGTCTTTACCAACCATCTCCAAGAAGAGCTGAATCAGTGAACTAAAACACAGTCCAGTTAATTTATAGGATCGTTTTTTGCTCGAATCAATCCAAACAGTCTGATAGGATCGTCATGAATGTTTTCCTCTGCTGCCTGACTTTCTGGTGGGAGATTGTCTACCGAAGTGATTTTAGAAACATCGAGATCCAGCGCATAGAGTTGCTCCTCTTCACCCGTGTTTGACAGTGAAGTTTCCTGTTTCCTGGGCTTTCTGGCCTTCCCCCTGTAACTGTGATTTAGTGAAGCATAGCACATCTGTGGTTCAGTGGTTGCCTGAAAAAGGAAGGCATGTTAATTTTCCATAGGCATGATGACTCCTGGGAGTGTCTATGACCTATGAAAAACAAGTACAGTGGCTTGTTTTCTAGGCTTCAGCTAATTTAGTTTGTTTGTCGAGTTAGGATGATAAGAAGAAAACAGTACTTAAGACTTTTGAGTGGAAAACAAAAAATGCTTAGATAAGACTTTTCCTTGTGTTGTTATCTTGTTTTCTTAAATTTAAAATGCACATGAAAATTTAAGATCAACTCTCACTTGCTACCACCCCTGCTGCCTCTTCACATAACTATGGCCCTATGTGACTCTTACCAAGGAACAACTGTGAGTAAGAATGATAAAAATGAATTTAACAAACACAGTATCTAGTGACATTTTATATTTGCTTAGTAATTGGACATTTAATGGTACCTGAAAAAAACCTCAATTTTTATACTTTTAGAGCTTCAGAATTATAAAGATAAACAGTGTCCACTAAAACTACTGGCATCTAGCAGATAATTAAATTTCACCTATTTCCCTAATATATTCTTCTTGCTTACCTGCTCCCAGATTTTCTTGGAACTCATTGCAGGTTGCTCTTGGAGATACCTATTTGCATTTAAAAGGCTCTGGTGGTTTCCTCAGACCTGTTGTTGTCTGGTGCCTTCCAGTAGATTTCAACTGAAAATGACCCCCATGTAACAAAGTAGAGCCTTCTTACAGGGTTTTCTGAGCTGTACTCTTTATGGAAGGAAAGCACATTGCAAGGTATTTCTCCCATGAAGCTGATGCAGGGGTCTGAGCCCTCAAGCTTTCAGTTAGTAACCAAGGACTTAACCTTTGTGCCATGCTGAGTCAATAGTACTTTAACAGGACAAGACAGGAGAAACTCCTTTAACAGGAGAAACTCAGGGCTACGACAAGCATTGAGGAAAGACCTTAAATGAGGGGCTGGAAATTTTAGAATTGAAACCCTGTTGTGCCAAATACAGACTATGGGACCTTGGGCAGTGTTTACAAACTATTCTCGGCCTCAATTTTCTTGTCTGTAAAATTATAAAGTTGTTGTTATTAGGTACTGTCAAGATGGCTCCAACTCATAAAGACCCAATGCAGAACAGAAGGAAACACTTCCTAGTCCTGTGCCATCCTCATAATTGTTCTTATTGGTCCATTGCTGCTGCCACTGTGCCAATCTATCTAGTTGGGGATCTTCCTCTTTTTTGACTAACCCTCCACTTCACCTAGCATGAGGTCCCTCCTGATAACATGTCTGAAGTATGTCTGAAAATATATCCTAGCTTCTATAGAGCACTCTGGCTGCACTTTTTCTAACAAATTTGTTTGTTCTTCTGGCAGCCAATGGTACTTTTAATATTCTTCTCCAATGCCATAACGCAAATGCATCAATTCTTCTATGGTCTTCCTTATTCATTGTCAAACTTTCACATGTATATGAGGCTACTGAAAATCATGGCTTGAGTCAGGTGCACCTTAGTCTTCAAACTAACATCTTTGTTTTTGAACATTTTAAAGAAGACTTGTGCTGAAGATTTGCTTAATGCAATATGTCACTTGATTTCTTGACTGCTGCTTCCACAGTGTTGATAGTGCATCCATGCAAAATGAAGTATTTGAAACTTTAATCTTTTCTACATTTATTTTGATGTTATTCATTGGTCCAGGGGTGAGGGGTATTGTTTTGTTTACATTGAGGTACAAGCCATACTGAAGGCTGTGGTCTTTGATGTTTATCAGTAAGTATTTTTAAGTCCTCTTCACTTATGGGAAGCAAAGTTGTATCATCTGCATATCACAGGTTGTTAATGAGTCTTCCTTCAATCCTGATATCACATTCTTCTTTGTATAACCCAGTTTATCAGATTATTAACTCAGCATGCAGATTGAATAAGTATGGTTAAAAAAAAAATAATACAATGCTGGAACACATCTTTACTGATTTTAAACTATTCTGTGCCCCTTTGTTCTGTTTGAAAGACTGCTTCTTGTTCTATGTACAGGTTCCTCATGAGCACAATTAAGTGCTCTGGAATGCCCATTCTTTGTAATGTTATTCATGATATACACAGTCAAAAGCCTTCACATAGTCAGTGAAGCACAGGTAAGCATCTTTGTGGTATTCAGTACTTTATGCCAAAATCTATCTGATATGAATCTTTTCCACTGTCTCTTCCCACAGATGTGGTCAATTTGATTTCTATATATCCATTAGGGTGAGGTCCATGTGTATAGTCATCTAATATGTTGTTATAAAAGGTATTTTAAGTCATTGGTCTTGCAAAATTCTATCATGTGATCCCAAGCATCATTTTGATCACCAAGGCCATATATTTCCAATCATCAGTAATTATCAATATATCTTGATTGTATATTTGATCATTTTCAGACTTAAGAAGTTGGTTGTTGTTGTTAAGTACTGTTGAGTCAGTTCTGACCCATAGCAACACTATTCGTGGTTTCGAAGGAATGGCTGTTGAGCTTGAACCACCAACCTTGAGGTTGAATTGAGTTCTGTATTTATAACTGAAAGCATATTAAATAATGCATGTGTGGTCTAGAGTTGACCAACATCATCAAGTGCTGAAGAGTTGAAAGAATGCATATCCTAAACCAAATGGTTAATTGCTTATAACTTCCAGCATGTCATTTCAGTTGAGTAGATTGATGGCAATATTTCCAGAGGTAAAGAAATGTGTACCAATGGAAAGAAATGGAAACAATAAAGGAATATGAGAACAAGCTCAGAAGTTAAACAGAAGAATCAGATTGAAGTAGGTTTTGTTGTTTTGTTTGTATTTGTTTTGAATATTGAGGATATTTATGTATATTGCTAGGCAAATTATAATATACATTGAAATAAAATTGAAAATATGGATAAAAATTAAATAACTGAAGGCACACAATCCTAAAAGAAATAGGAAATGTGGTCAAAAACACAAATAGAAGCATTAGCCTTGTAATAGAGAAAGACTGCTGCAGATACAAGCAACAAGGTGAGGAGACATTGATTCAAAATTTTCACATAGAGATGAGGTAAGATGAGAAAGCTTACACTAGTGCCCCACAATTATTTTCGAACATAAGAACTTTTGTGAACTCTTATTTCATTGCTTGGTTTTCTTATTAATTCTAATTAATATTTATTGTAGACTGAGATAACTAAATTTCAACTTCTCAACTATACATATCACTTCCAATAGGCAAAGAGCTTATTTTAACTTTTTTTTCAACAGATAAACACTTTTTGATCAAGTTGTATATATGCTGTTATATATTTCTAATGCTTTTGCAATTCTAGTAGCAAAAAGTGTAGTGTTTTTGATAGCGATGACAATTAAAATCAAATGGAATTTGACAAATAAATAGAAATTACTGGTAGCATAGTGGTTGTATAGGATAAACATTGGACTGAAAACCATAAGGTTGGCAGCTCAAGCTCATCAGCCACCTTGCAGGGAAAAGATGAGGATTTCTGCGTCTGCTAAGATTTACAATCTCGGAAACCCTACACAGGGTCACTATGAGTCAGAGTCGACTTGATGGCACTTAACAACAACAACAAAGAGATTACTTGAAATTAAATTTGTGACAAGGATGCAGTGTAGTAAAATAAAGACCAATTTCCTTATATAACTAACCCAAAATCCCTGCCATTGAGTTAATTCCAATGACTATAGCATATGAGTATAGAAACCCTACTAGGGTTTTCAAGACTAAATCTTTAAGGAAGCAAAAGCATCCACTTTCTCCCTCAGAGTGACTGGTGGGTTTAAATTGCTGACCTTCTGATTAGCAGTCCAGTGTTTATCCTGAAGCACCACCAGTACTCCTCATTATCTTTAAATGTATCATTTCTAAAATCATAGACTTTAGAAGAAATTTTAAGGCTGTACATCATTTCTTCTTGAGTAAAAGCCAGAAGCAGTTCAAATGACGCTGCTCTACACAATTCACATGTATTAAACAACAGCTTCTATTCAGAATTCCCAGTTCTTTCACCACTAAGGCACTGTGAATTCCAGCATTTTTCTTTTATAATCATAGATGTAGCAGATCATGTTATATCATGCAGTTTTTCATACATTTTATCTAAAAATATATTTTACAATGAACTAATCAAACCACAGATTTGCCTGTCAGAGTTTTGACTTACCGTTTTCCTAAGCCTCATCACATCTGGGTTTCTTAAGAAAAATGTCAAGAGGTCTAGTTTCTTAAGGGATTCAAGTAGAAAACAAGAAAAATTCTACCTCCATGGAAAATGTTCATGGTGTGGCCCATCTTCGCAATGAGAGCAGTTTGTAGACAGGATTCAATTTGGATTCTGTCTTTCTACATAGTACCTGAGTTTTCTTGGATACGTTATTTACCCTTTATAAGTTTCTGTAAAGTGGGAATGATAATACTTCCTGTCTCAAAGGAGATAATAGTGTGAAACACCTAATGTAGTGACTGATACACAATGAGTGCTCAGGAAATGTTGGCTCTGTTATTATTTCTAGAATAGGAGAAAGGACACAATTGAAGGAGCAAGATCTGTGAGGAATGGAAGATGAACAATTTTAACTGAAGTTTATGCCAGCACTGGACTGTAAACCACAGGTTGGTGATTTAAACCCACGAGCTGCTCCTTGAAAACCCTATATAGGGTCATTATGAGTTGGAGCCAATTCGATGGCCCTTAACAACAACAACATACATCAGTAGTTTGTAGGCTAAGGATTTTAGATGACAGTTAATGAAATTGTGTTATTGTCTGAAGAAGTTGAGCTGATTGTGGTAGAAGACAATGTGCATTTCCTCTTGGACTTTTATATGCCTATGTAGAGCTTTGGCTTCCTATTCCCACATGGGAGTCCTTTCTGTTGTTGTTAATGCCATCCATGGAATTCTTTATGACTCATAGCAACACTTGGGTGGTGCAAATGATTGATATGCTCGGCTGATATGTGAAAGGCTGGTAGTTTAAATCTACCAAAAGGGACCTCAGGCAAAAGATCTGGCAATTTACAGCCATTGGAAAGCCGATGAAGCACAATTCTACTCTGACACGTGTGGGATTGCCATGAATCAGACTCAGCTTGACAGAACCAGTTTATCTCCATATGTATGTCACAAGCTGTTACCATAAGACCACAGATATAGAACTTGCATTATAATGTATATTCATTAGTCTTGTGTAATAGGGATCAGATGTTTTATCTCCAGCTAAGTTCTTATGGAGTTCTGGTAGCAGAGTGGTTACAAATCGGGATCTGAACCTTAAGGTCAGCAGTTCAAAACTACCAGCTGTCCCACGGGAGAAAGATGAGGCTTTCTGCTCCCATAAAGATTTACAGCCTCAGAAACCCTGTACAGGGTCGCTATGGGTTGAAATCAACTCCATGGCACATAACAACAACAAGAAGTTCTTATAAAACATTTGTCTCTCCTTTCTTCTCTCTGATCCTTTGCTCTCCTACTCTCCACTTCCCTCCTCTCTCTGTCATTCTTAGGTCTTTTGAACAATATATGTGTATCAACTTTTACCTCTGTGAAGCATATATATTTTTCAGTTGGGAAGAAAAGACTTGATTCACTATTTGGAAATAGGATCCACTTTTCCCTTTATATCTATTGCCTTGGTAATTATACACAATTTTGACTCTTCAAATTTGATCCTTGCAATTCAGTGCATTTTCAGGTCTCAGTACTTGACACATGATTCAGAACAACATTTCTAATAGACTGTATCAGATGTGCATCAGAGTTTGATTGTTTTATGCTCTTGAGACATGATATTTGCTGTCTGGCAATTAAATTAAGAAGCTCTGGTAGCATAGTAGATTACAGGCTGGGGTGCTAACTGCAAGGTCAGTAGTTAGAATCTACCAGTCAATTCATAGGAGAAAGATAAGGCTTTCTGCTCCTCTGAAGATTTACAGCCTCCAAAACCCTATACAGGGAGACTATGGGTTGGAACTCACTCAAAGGCATGTAAGTTGAACTGTTAAGAGTAATTATGTCTGATGCCATTCCCTCAGCCTGCCCCTTTCCTTTTCCACTTCCTGGCTGGTTGGCAACTTGCCCGATATACTACAATTTGCTCTCATTCGCTCCTGGAATGGCCCTGGAATGAGAATCAGGCTATTTAAAGAGGACTCCATATTTATTTGATAAAAATCCAATGAATATATGAATGTAAAATAAATTCCAATTGTACCTTGATTTGTTTGCTGAAAATGTGAAGTAGTAAAAATGAAGTCATGAGAAGAAATCCACCACTAGTCTGAATTTGACCCTTAAAATAGAAAATAAAACACACCTGCTCATGTTGGTCGACTTCTTGTGGTTTAGTCACAGATTTCTCTGGTCGGGATTTCATTTGCTCATAACAATTTTCATTTGTTGGTTCTTAATAGTTGAAAAATCAAGATTTTACAATGGGAAAATGAAGATGTTGACACAAATAGTACACGAACCTGACAACAATTAGCTGTAGATATAAGGTCCCTAAGCAACACTTGACAAGTCCCTGTGGTGGAGAGGCAAACAGGAAAGCCCAAACTGTTCTTTGCAGATAAACAGTAGAAAAGTCCTTTGCCCCTCAACAATAATAAGGCCAAAAAGGAGGTCATTTGAGAAATCTAGATCATCTTAATTTTTTCAGATAATTGTACATGGTAGTCTTAACTTCTGTTAGATGTTTCAGAGATCCCATAAGTTAAAGAACTGCCTGTGTGTCCTCTGTGATGCATGTGAGGGCCAATGGCCTGTGTGATACAAAGTTCATTGTGCCTACATTGATAGTTACAATTTGGTAATTTGTTCTATGAGTAAGACGTTGCTCTCAGAGGATTTGAAACCTTACATCCTTTTTTATTTACTTATTATTATTATTATTTGCCAAAAAGGGTTTAGATGATGATTTTGTCCATAATGAAAGGACAGTTAGGCCAGGTTACCCACAGGGTTTGGATCTCTGTAAAACAGGCCCTAAGTATTTGGGACTCTAGTACAGGGTCCAAGAGCCAGCAATCCTGAAATCACTTCATCATGTGGGGGCATAGTTCATGCTTATTGAATCTTCTGATGACTTTCTGCCCTCAGGTACTCTCACTTAAAAGGGAGAGGAAATAGGGTGGTGATTCCTAGGATGGTCAGTATCTTGGCAGAAAAGTGACTTGTACCATTTTTACTCTACAATGAAAAAAAGATATAGATACTCTTTCTGCAAAGCAACACAGAGTAAGGGCTCTAAGAGTATTATTTCTCAAAGCATAATCATTGGAAAACATAAAAATCATCTGGAAGGTTTGTTAAACAGCAGATTCCTAGGTACTAGTTGAGCTGTGACCTGTTGCTGTAGAATAAACACTGGACTGGTAACCACAAGGTCAGCATTTCAAACCCACCAGCTGCTCTAGGACACCCTATACAGGGTGGCTATGTATATACAACAACAAATATTAATTGGCAGTTCAAAGCCACCAGATGTACCTTTAAAGGCAGGCATAATGACCTGCTTCCAAAAAGTCACAACCTTTAAAACCCTATACAACAGTGCTACTCTGTACACATGGGTTTGCCATGAATTGGAATCACCTCAGTGACAACTAACAACATTCTTTGTTGTTGTTGCTGTATGCCATCAAGTTAGTTCCAACTCATAGGACCCTGTATAGGGTTTCTAAGGAGCAACTGGTGAGTTTCAACAACTGACCTTGTCGTGCAAATTCACCTTGTGTTCCACTGCTTACCATAAAGCATCACAGGATATAATGAACTTTGAGTCACTGCAATGCACAAGAATGCACACATCCTCAAATATTACAAATTGGCAGATTCTCCAAGGTAAAACAGGTGGGTAATTATTTTTAATAGAATATTTCTGAAAATTGTTTCTGATTACTTAGAGTGCTGAGACTTGAGAGTTTACTCTTTATAATGGAATAGGAGAGAAAGGAATAAATTCTGAAATCCTATATTTTAAAATTCTCACATTCCAGATTTTAGAATGCTTCACTGCTTTAATAAAGAGATACTCAGAAAAAGTTAGTATATTACTGGAAGTCCCTGGGTATGAGACTTCAGGGATAACCCCCCCCCCCCCCAATTTTCTATTAAGAAGTAAGGGAAGAGAAGTGCTTGTAGAAAAAGAACTGGTTTAAAGACACGAGCCTTATGATGCAAAGTTTGCTCATCAATGCTTTGGGCCTGGGCCAAAGTGGTCTGCTTTGGGACTACAGAGGGCTTTTGTTTTTAGTTGGTTGGAATATTTTAAGTAACTGAGAATGCCAAGAATTGAAGAGCACTCATTACATAAGAACAAAAAATGTTTAAACCACTCAGTGATTATTTCTCGCTCTTCTTTTCTCCCACCTGCAATCAATCCAGCCCTAGGCTCTCGACTTCAAAAGAGTGAGTTACGGCAGGGGAATCAAAGAAAGTGTTCATTGTACCCGATTATTTGCTTTTCTGTGCAGAAAGCCCTGTTTCTCTGAATCATTCTCTGTTCTAGAAATAGCTTTATTTCCTAGAATTTTGTATGCCAAGATTCTTGGTAATTGTATCTTCCTGTATTCTCATTATGAGTAGAGTAAATTGATAAAGCAGAAAAACAGAATGTTGATTTACATTGAATATTGTAAAACATTTTACAATATGAAGTCTAGGAAATATATATAAAGGAACTTTAATCTCTCTTGAATTTATGAATACCACTGGGAGAAATTCAAATATGATTATGATAAAAAATAAGTTTCCTTAAATTTTTGTGTAATATATTGATAAATTCAATTTATGGAAAAAGAAAACTTACCTGGTCCCACATTGTCTAAATTACCATAAATTGGTGTTTCTTCAATATAATATTCATCATCTCTATAACAAGGAAAAGTAATTTATATTATTAGAATCCATTATATACATAGTTCATAACTAATGTCTCAGCTAAATCTGATATTGGGTGAACTAGGAGTCCTGGTGTGGAATTACCGAATAATGAACTGGACTGTAAGGTCGGTTTGAACCACAAGGTCGGTGGCTCAAACTTACCAGCCACTCCTTAGAAACCCTATGCAGGGTCACTATAAGTCAGAACCAACTTCACAGCACTTAACAACAACAAATTCCTACTCTTATTTAGACTCAACCAGTATCATCCAAGGGTGATTTTTATGTATGATGAGTAAGTATGTGTGTGTGTTTGTGTATGTGTAAGCTTAGAAGTTGGTTTTTAGATCTTCTTTTTAGTCCATACTATATATGTGTATATGTGAAGTGCCGTTGAGTACGTTCCAACTCATAGTAACCCTGTATAAGGTTTCAAAGAAGCCACTGGTGAGTTTGAAGTACCAACATTGCTGTTCAAATGACCTTGCAAGGTCCAGTGCTTACCCTACAGTGTCACACCAGGGCTCCAAAGAGAAGTTTTGTTGTTGTTTAGTGCCATCATGTCATTCCAACTCATAGTGACCCTGTATAGGGTATCCGAGGAGCAGCTGGAGGTTTTGAACTGCTGAACTTGCAGTTAAAACTGACCTTGGTGTCTAGTGCTTATCCTACAGCACCAAAAGAGCAAATATTTATTTAGCACTTACTGTACATGGGGAGCTACCTGAGCATTTCATGTATTTGTTCATTAAAACTCAAAATAACTCCACCTGGTAGACATTAGAGGAGTACCTTCCCCACTTTGCTGTTGTTAAGTGCTGCAGAGTCAGTTTTTACTCATAGCGACCCTGTATAGGTTTTCCAAGAAGTAGCTGGTGGATTTGAACTGCCAAACTCATGGTTTGCAACCCAGTGCTGATCCTACAGCACCACACCAGGAATCCTTCCTCACTTTACAAGTAAGGAATCTGGGGAACAGCAAGGTTAAATAGCTTGTTCAAGGTCAGAAGACAAGTATGTGACAGCTAGGATTATAACTCAGATTATCTGTTCTCTTAGTTATAGACACTTTTCTTACTAAATAAACATAAATTGACAGTGATGACTATTGAAAAAAAAAATTACAATCTCAGTTCAACACATGCAATAAGATTATTGATCACTTATTAGGCCCTGTAGCTATACTAGTGTTTTGCATGTATTTTATCAAAGGACCAGGAAAATACTGCAAAAATATTGTTTTTCCCTGCCTTGTAGAGGGGAGCCTGAGATTCTGATAGCTTAATTTCATTTCCCTAGACTTACATGTAATGAGGGAGCACGGTGGCTCTGTCCAATAACACTGAATTATGCACGAAGCTGTTCAAACTACCAGTGGCTCCAGATGAAGCTTTCTGCTCCCACAAAGATTTAAAGCCTCAGAAACCCTATACAGTATCACTATGAGTCAGAACCTATTTAACAACACTTAACAACCACAACAACACATGTAATGAAAATATCAGCAATAACTATCACATATGAAACCTTGGCTCTGTACCAGGCTCACTGCTAACTGTTCATTCAACCCTCAAGACAACACTGTTGTTATTACGTTCCTACTTATTGCAACCCTATATAGGGTTTTTGAGGAACAACTGATGGATTTGAACCACTGACCTTGCAGTTAGTAGTCCAGTGCTAATCCTACAGTGACACATTAGGACTCCCTCAGAACAACCCATGAGATTCATATTCTTATTTTCAATGTACAGATAAGGAATTTGTAACTCATGTTATTGTTGTTAAATGCCTTTGAGTTGGTTCTCACTCATAGCCACCCTGTAAAGGGTTTCCAAGGAGCAACTGGTGGGTTTGAATTGCTGACCTTGTGATTCACAATCCAGCATTTATCTTAAGGCATCACATAAGGAGTCCAACTCACAGAGGTTAATTAAAATGTTCAAAGATGCACAAACTTTCATTGGAGTATCAGCCAAAATCAGCTCAATAGAACATAACAGGAATGTACTCCAAGTCTGATCCTAAAGCCCTTGGCTCTGTCTATAACACTAGGAGGGCTTGCAGAAGGTGACACAATTCAAAGGTTATAGGGAAACAGTCTAGGAGACATATAATTTTTACTCCTTAAACTCAGGAGAATTGACAAGAATATATGACTATTTGTTTAAATATCTTTATACCCTCATTTTAGAAATCCTATTAGGACTACAGAGTCTTGACATGGTTCTGAGGATAAGCACTGGACAGTAACCTCAAGGCCTTCAATTCACACCTACAGGGCATTCTTGGGAAGCCCTGTGAAGGGTTATTATAAGTTAGAACTGACTCCAGGAGACTTAGCAGTAACAACCATTAAGATTGCAGGAGACTTTCTACCATTGTCACCAAAGGGTTGTAATAGCCCTGTTGCTATTATTGTTAAGTGCTGTCTAGTCAGTTCTGACTTATAGTGACCCTGTACAGGGTTTCTGAGGAGCAGCTGGTGGATTTGAACAGCCGACTTTGTGGTTCCCAGTCTAATGCTGATCCTACATCTCCACACAGAGAATAACCCTAGTGACCAGATTATACAATTGCAAATTAGGAACAAAGAGAAATGTCAAACAGTGAAAGTGGTATTTCATAAAACAGTATTAACTGCTTTAACTTTGAGATTACATATCACTAAGAGTAAAAGGGAATTGTATCAAAAGAACAAAGTATTCTTATGTAAGGCATAGCGCCTATCTTACTCTTTGTGGCTCTGAAAAAGGACACAGAATGTGTAAGCACTAAGCAGGTATCCTTTAAAAAAGCAACTGATCAAATGATACCTGTTTGAAATGGTTTGAAAATCCCATACATTGACATGTATTTCACTTATCTGATAACAAAAGAACTCATCTGTAGCCTTTTTTCCCATCAGTAATTCAATACTGCTTAATATTGGCATACAGAGCAGTCCCTGCTCATGGTATTTTCTCTAGTTATGCAGAGATTATAATAGCAAAAGGTAAGGAATTTTTAATAAGCCAATCCATCCATTTTCCTAGCCCACGTAGATACCAGATAGAACTTGCAAATGATAAATCATGTCCAAAAAAATTAACATCATTTCATTCTCTATGAATGATAATAAGATGCGATTTATAATGCTGTGCCCTATGTCTACAGGCAGGTCTCAAATGATTAATCACCTCAAATAAACTATTATTCAGGAGCTGTTACCTAACCAACAAATTAATTTTTGTTTTTTTCTTAGCAGTGCCAAATAGCTCCAGTCTCATGCAAATATCCAGTATACTTCAAGCATCAATGTTTGGCAGTGTTCTATTTGGAAGAGTAATTAAAACTAAATGAATCCATATCTAAGAATCTAGTATATCTTTGAGTTTTAGGTCCAACCAGATCTTTCACTGCTTTGAATGTATCTGAAATAGAATCTTAGTTTCTGAATGCTGCTATAACAGAAATACCATTAAATGGCTTTAATGAACAGTAAAACAGCTTTTCACAGGTTAGTGGACTAGAAGTCAGAATTCAGGCCACAGAATCTAAGTATACTTGAATAAATAAATTTAACTTTTAAAATATCATACTTCTTTTTTGGTGATCTGAGCATACATTCTGACTTTAAATTTTCTATTTAAAAAGGATATTAAATTATTTGGTGCTTATTGTCTTTTCCAGCTTCCACATTTTATAATGTAACTGTGGCATTATAATATCTAAATAAAAATAATGGATGAAAATATATTTAAAAAAACAAAAACAAGTTAAGCTATTTTAAGGGACTAGAAAGTTGTCACATTAAGGAAGGACAACCTTAGATGGTTATCTGAAGCTGGTATTGGTAAATGTTAGTTTATTTCTTTTTAATAAACACTTTTCTTGAGTGGGCAGGTAAAAATGCTATTTGAAGTCAAGAGAGTGGATGGGATTACTTATGAAATGAGTATTAGTAGAGAAGAGAAGGGGTTTACTAAATGAGCTCTTTAATATCCAATATTTGGAAACCACAACAGAGAGGAAGCTGCTGATGAGAGAGGAAGAAAACCAGAGAGGCATGGCCAGAAGACCACAGAAGCAAGTTTCAAGTAAAGAGTGACAATGTTTCAAGAGCTAATAATCATCTGAATAAGATAAGACCAAGAATTTGTCATGTGGAGTTCACTGGAGATTCTGACAAGAGTTGATCCTATGAATTAGTGAAGACAGAAGGTTAAATAGAGTGTGTTCAAGAAAGAAAAGGTAAAGAGGAAAAGAAATCAATAACCATGGACCTAATATAAGCAGTCCTGGTGTGGCGATGTAGGCTAATGAGTCAGACTGTAAAGTCGTTTGAACTGCAAAGTCACAAGCTTCTCCTTGGAAACCCTACACAGGGTCGCTATGGGTCGAAATCTTCTCCACATCACTTAACAACAATAACAATGTCCTGGTGTGGCGCTGTAGGTTAATGCATCAGACTGCAAAGTCGTTTGAACTGCAAGGTCAGTGGTTCAAGCTCACCAGCTTCTCCTTGGAAACCTTTTACAGGGTCACGATGGGTCGGAATCGACTCAGAGGCACTTAACAACAACAACAATATAAGCAGAACTTTCAAGTTTTGACGTAAAAGAGTGCAGAGCAATAGAAAGTAGGTGTATGGCAATCTAGAGTCAAAGAAGCTTATTTTTCTTTTTTAAAGTAGGGGATGATATAGTACACATTGATGGTAAAGATAAAAAAGAAACAGAAAAAGTAAAGATGCCGAAAAGAAGGTAAAAAATGGTTTGAACAATGTGTCTCTGATTATCTACTGTCCCCTTTCTTTGACAAAAACTGTAACAAAGGTGTAAGTGTCGTGACTAGTGGAAGAATATCAAAGATAAAACCCTGCTTAGAGAAAGAAAATAAACTCCAGCAATATTTTGTGTGGCTGGAGACAAAAAAAGAGAATCTAAAAGATGTTGTTGTGAAGAGAATGGTTAATGAATTCCTGCAGCAAAAATACCAAAGCCAAA